TCAGCTCGCTCTGCTCCGTTAAAACTGAATTTACCATACAGAATTGAATACGAGTGCACTCCAGATTTAGCTGCAGCCAGCTGACCGTGTGCTTCTCCCTATACCGCAGTTCTGTGTCCATGCATGCAGCAAACTGAAAGCACTGTCTGTCGGAGCGTCTACGTGAAAAGAGAAGGAAGACATTGCTGGTAGTATTGTCTTCAGAGTTGTTAAACACCTCAGCGCACTGAAGGAAGCCATCTGACTGTGTGAGGGGCAAGATCGTTGATGTCTGCAGGCAGAGTAGGAGCTCTCCTGTCTGACTGGTCCACCAATAGCAGAGAAGATGACCCCTTGAGACACAGCCCCTCCTCATTTGCATAATGAGGCAGAAATGCATACAAAAATTTTAAAAAGACAGGCAGAAATAAATACCATGGGTGAAAATAAATAAGGTAAATAAATACAAAGGAAGAATAAAACAGACAAAAATATTAAAACACACACATAAATAATACATTAAAAAAATTAGTAATAAATAAAGTTGAATAAACAATAAGGTAATTATAACAAAGGTGAATAAGTAAAGGCACTAATTAAAATATATACATTTATGTCTCCTTGTATAATTTAATTACTACCTACATTTATTTATTTACTTTATTTTTTTGTGTATTTAATTGGATGCTTATTTATTTATTGAGCATTTATTTATTTCTGTATTTATTTCTGACTGTGTCAGGATCGGTCCTCCATAGCGGGGTGGGAGAGTTATCAAGCACGTAAAGTTTGGTTCAGATGTGAGCATGTACACTGAAGTTACAACAACTTCCTGTGTCATGGCGAAGACTTGATCTCTGACGCCACGCCACGGACACACCCATTGACGAAAACTCGCAAATAGCACAACTTTTCATCTTCAATGCCTTTAGAAGGCACAGCACAAATTTGAAGTCGGTCGGACTAAATCCCTAGGAGGAGTTCGTTAAAGTACGAAGTGTGTAAATCATCCAAAATTTGACGTAAAATTCAAAATGGCCTACTTCCTGTTGATTTTAGGGCATCGCTCCAAGAGGCTTTTTTGTGCGTCTGGACAAGATACACGTACCACAGAAAATTCGTGCACGTAGGTAAAACGTGCGGCGGGGGCTGCTTCGTTAAAAGTCACTTCCTGTTGCCAGCAGGTGGCGCTATGACTGTCTGTGAATGTCAGCATGTACATGTGTTCAGGGCGGACTCTCATCCTACATGTACAGTTTGGTCCAGATGTGAGCATGTACACTGAAGTTACGACAACTTCCGTGTCATGGCGAAGAGCTGATCTTTGACGCCACGCCACGGACACGCCCATTGACGAAAACTTGCAAATAGCACAACTTTTCATCTTCAATGCCTTTAGAAGGCACAGCACAAATTTGAGGTCGGTCGGACTAAATCCCTAGGAGGAGTTCGTTAAAGTACGAAGTGTGTAAATCATCCAAAATTTGACGTAAAATTCAAAATGGCCGACTTCCTGTTGATTTTAGGGCATCGCTCCAAGAGACTTTTTTGTGCGTCTGGACAAGATACACGTACCACAGAAAATTCGTGCACGTAGGTGAAACGTGCGGCGGGGGCTGCTTCGTTAAAGGTCACTTTCTGTTGCCAGCAGGTGGCGCTATGACTGTGGGTGAATGTCGGCATGTACATGTGTTCAGGGTGGGACTCTCATCCTACATGTACAGTTTGGTCCAGATGTGAGCATGTACACTGAAGTTACGACAACTTCCTGTGTCATGGCGAAGAGCTGATCTTTGACGCCACGCCACGGACACGCCCATTGACGAAAACTTGCAAATAGCACAACTTTTCATCTTCAATGCCTTTAGAAGGCACAGCAAAATTTGAGGTCGGTCGGACTAAATCCCTAGGAGGAGTTCGTTAAAGTACGAAGTGTGTAAATCATCCAAAATTTAACGTAAAATTCAAAATGGCCGACTTCCTGTTGATTTTAGGGCATCGCTCCAAGAGGCTTTTTTGTGCGTCTGGACAAGATACACGTACCACAGAAAATTCGTGCACGTAGGTGAAACGTGCGGCAGGGGCTGCTTCGTTAAAAGTCACTTCCTGTTGCCAGCAGGTGGCGCTATGACTGTGGGTGAATGTCGGCATGTACATGTGTTCAGGGTGGGACTCTCATCCTACATGTACAGTTTGGTCCAGATGTGAGCATGTAAGTAGGCCCAACTGACATGGCCTAAACATACTCGAAAACTCACCAAAATTTGCAAACATGTCAGAACCGGTGAAAAATTTCGTATTCTACAAGTTTCGCACATGGGCGTTGCAAAATGACTCGCTAGCGCCACCTAGAAAATTGGAAAAAATTTGCCCCTCGTTCACGTTCAACCTACATCTACGAAATTTTCTGGGGACATGTATCATGTCAAGACGCACAAAAAAGCCTCAAGAACCCATAGCCTAAAGTCAACAGGAAGTCGGCCATTTTGAATTTTACGTCAAATTTTGGATGATTTACACACTTCGTACTTTAACGAACTCCTCCTAGGGATTTAGTCCGACCGACCTCAAATGTTTGCTGTGCCTTCTAAAGGCATTGAAGATGAAAAGTTGTGCTATTTGCAAGTTTTCGTCAATGGGTGTGTCCGTGGCGTGGCGTCAGAGATCAAGTCTTCGCCATGACACAGGAAGTTGTTGTAACTTCAGTGTACATGCTCACATCTGAACCAAACTTTACGTGCTTGATAACTCTCCCACCCCGTTATGGAGGACCGATCCTGACACAGTCAGAAATAAATACAGAAATAAATAAATGCTCAATAAATAAATAAGCTTCCAATTAAATACACAAAAAAATAAAGTAAATAAATAAATGTTGGTATTAATTAAATTCTACAAGGAGACATAAATGTATATATTTAATTAGTGCCTTTACTTATTCACCTTTGTTATAATTACCTTATTTATTTATTCTCCCTTATAATCTTCAACTTTATTTATTACTAATTTTTTTAATATATTTATTTATGTGTGTGTTTTAATATTTTTGTCTGTTTTATTCTTCCTTTGTATTTTTCTACCTTATTTATTTTCACCCATGGTATTTATTTCTGCCTGTCCTTTTTAAATTTCTGTATGCATTTCTGCCTCATTATGCAAATGAGGAGGGGCTGTGTCTCAAGGGGTCATCTTCTCTGCTATTGGTGGACCAGTCAGACAGGAGAGCTCCTACTCTGCCTGCAGACATCAACGATCTTGCCCCTCACACAGTCAGATGGCTTCCTTCAGTGCGCTGAGGTGTTTAACAACTCTGAAGACACTACCAGCCATGTCTTCCTTCTCTTTTTACGTAGACGCTCCGACAGACAGTGCTTTCAGTTTGCTGCATGCATGGACACAGAACTGTGGTACAGGGAGAAGCACACGGTCAGCTAGCTGCAGCTAAATCTGGAGTGCACTCGTATTCAATTCTGTATGGTAAATTCAGTTTTAACGGAGCAGAGCGAGCTGACAGGCAGAGTTAGAGACTTTTTCTGTCCGTTTCTCTCTTTACAAAGACGCATGTTGCAGTCAGAGTCTTCTCTGAAGAGGGCAATGAAGTCTCAGTAGTACCCGATGCGAGCACCACATACAACACAATTTATCAAATTACACAACGGATATACAGTATGAAAATAAGACTGATTGGATTATACTCACAGGAAGTATAAAACCTGTTACATGCGTAACACAGTAATGTCAGGGAAATTACTTTACTTAGAATTAAGTACTGCAGTTGTACATTTGAAATACCTTCCTAACTTTCTGATAGGAAGCCTTCTTGAGGTGGTATAAAACATTTCTTCTTATATTCTGATTTGAGTTGTGGACAACTATGACCACATGAATAAAAAAAATAAACATTTCACTGCCCAAGTCAGCTATAACACAAGTCTTGTTCATCAGACTACATGCTGTGGACAGATTTTGTCCCAGGATTTATTATGCATTTCTTCTTCTTCGTTGCATGATTTAGAATAATAAGGTGAGAAATGGGTCTATTCTGAGTTCATCCTGCACTGCAGCAGCTAATAAAGTCCATTTAATCCCAAAAACGCTTTTCTTTTAGGCAGGCTGGAGCAGAAAACAACTCACCTTTCTCAAGTTGTACAGTAATGTCACATATGTATGAAGGTGGATCAAACCAGCTAATCTTAAATGTTAAAGTAGAGAGGAGCCTAGTAGGCCTATTTATTTTCATTCATTACACAATATGAATAAGCTATGCAGACAGTTGTAAAGAAAGAACATCTTTTTCTTCTGTTCTCTACTTGTTATAGTTACACAGTATTAGGGGTGTGGGCTGTATTAAAAGTATCCACTGTTCTCCCATGCTCTAACACACAGTAACGATGAAATGTGTGCTGTTCTCACATTCTTCCTCTGTATGTACACATAAACAACAAGGCAGGGAAATATAAAAGGAATTTATTTTATTGTTTGGGTACATTATTGTTCAGTGTACATGCTCACATCTGAAACAAACTTTACGTGCTTGATAACTGTCCCCCCCGCAGACATCTACACGCCAATACCAATTTATATTCATAGCGGCAAGTGCTATGTAGCTCCACATAGGGGACACAGGAAGTGACATATAACACCTTCATGCAGCGTCATAACCGCGTAGCAAATTCACAGCCGCACCGGCAGAGCTCCAGAATGTGCAACTCGGCCGGTTCACGCGCGGACGCGCTACAAGTGCGAGGGCCCGCCCAACGCTGCTTGCAGCTTTAATTTTATTTTATTTTATTAATTTAAGCCAAAGGAAACAGCACGCCTGAAACACGCGTGCAAAACAACATAAATGTGCGCCAACAGAAACAACAAGACCCAAAGTCTAATTCTTCTAGATTTACCGGTGTAACCTGCATGGCTACAAGAGCGGAAAGGGGGAAAAAAGTTGTGTTGTGTGTTTGATCATTTTTACACAAGTATTATTCTGTTTGAAATAAATAAATTGTTTGATAGTAGTTTCAGTTTTGTGCAAAAAGAATTAAAGGCCTGTCCCAAATACAGGCAGGGTCAATTCTGTGATTTTAGCAAATAAAAGCATGGGCTATTATTCAAAGTTTTACGGTAAATCAAAATATTATCTTTATACAGACGATTCATATTGTGTTGCTGTTTCTGTCCAGCTCACCCTCCTTTGGGAAGCTAACGCTGCAGCACTGATTAAACATTAACTCTAGTCTGAATGGTCACCTCTCTGCAGCTGCAGAGGGCGCTGCAACCAGAAAACAGCCAACTGTCATCTTGGTGTTTGCTCATTAATTTACAGCATTAATGCTGATTAGTTTAACTGTTCTTTTATCTCTTATTCTGTTGTCATTAAAGGTTCATTTGAGTGCACTGACCCTTTAAAACATGTTTCACATTTCTGTAACAGCAGCAAGAAGCAACTATTCAGGAATCAAGACATCTGAGACCTTTCCGTCCTCCTTATTCTCAATCTCCTCGTCATCAGGACGCTGGTCGACTGATTTTCTGCAATTTTTACATGATCTATAAATCATACAAATCGCACCCATTATAAAAGCAATAATACAAACAATTATAGTAATAAAAACAGCTAGCAGCTTTCCTTGTATCCTCCTGAACGCCTGGGTGGGAACGGCGATTGCAGTCTCGTTATCGGAGGTTGGCTGAAGCTTCTCTGGATCTTCAGGAGTGTCGGGCGCTGCACGAGGGAGTTCAAACATGTGAACTTTGATGCGTATTGGAAAATGTAGTTTGGTTACAACCAAATCCTGCTTAAACATGCTGTTTGCCTTTTTGTTTAGAAATAAAGGAGAAACACAAGATCACTTTAATAAGTTTTTCTCGAGGATATTGAATTTAGAGAGAGAGAGAGAAATTATTAATCATTTATCAATTGGATTCTAAACGTTACACTGACACATTTTGGTGACATGTCAAATTGAGCCTGCAGGACACACTGAGATTTCAGGGACTACAAACCCTCCAAAGTGTCCTGAGAGTTACTGATCAAATAACACTCAGTACTGTTTGGCCTCAGAGCAGCACTTCTTTCCAACCATTAAACAGGGTGAACCGAATGATTAAATTAAGAAAAGATTCTGATTTGATGAATCAGTTTGACTGATTTGTCAAACTAAAACTCAGCCTAAACCATGAATATAGAACTGAACTATATATATGTATATATATATATATATATATATATATATATATATATATATATATATATATATATATATATATATATATAAAAAATATAGAACTCTTTGCTGTCACAGATCCTGACCACATGCAGACTCGGTGTCCACAGTCTGACATAGAAAAAGGACAACCAACAGATGAAAGCGGCCACTGCGTGACAGGTGAGGCAGAGACTGGGATCAACTTCCTCTTGGTGACAGTAATATAAAAATATCAGAGTGCAACACTTTAAGTAATTTGATTTGTTAATCTCAAACTCAAACAGATGTCAAGCAGATGACAGTGAAAATAACAGATTGTTAGCAGGAGAAAATGCAGGACACTTAAGCCCCCGACAGACTTGCTTTTTAACAATGCGTAGGCGTAGACAGGCGTCGTCGACCCAAAGGGCATAGTTCACATATTTGCCTGTGTACTTTGCGTGTAACCTGGAGTTAGTGTCGTAGTCAAGACCGCCCAAACTGAGACCAAGTCAAGAACAACCAGATTATCTTCTTTGACAACCTCTGAGCAGGTTGTGACTTTAATGAGACATCATAACGATCTTGGTAATTAACTAGCTCCAGGAGTTTTACTGTTAAAATTCCCGCCATAAATCTCCTTTTTTAAAAGTCTGCTGCTGACCTCCTTCTTTTGCGTTTAAAGGCGGTTGGCAAACCAACTGTATCCCGCCACCACCTGGGCTGTTGTGTAGAACAGCAGATTGCTGCTGACCTGCCCGTCAGATCGACATACTGCCCCCACGTTCATGTCCTGAATTGCATCTCGCGGACGCGTGGCGTTATTTTCTGGAGACGTGCACGACCTACGCTCCAGAGGAACGCAGGATACGTGTGGCAGCCATCTTGCATACGCGTAGTTAAAAGCAAGTATGTCCAGGGCGTAAGCTGCACGACATGTAACTACATGTTGCAAACTGAGGGACACACAGTGGATGAGACAAATAATTAGACAGCGCACAGACACACAAAGTTACATGTAAGTGTTTTACTGTTTTTGCGTATTTGTTACTTTATATTACTGCTTAGTGTACTGAAATATTTTATCTATTTGTACTTGGATGCTAACTCACCTGAGTCTGTAACTTTCAGGTCGATGACGTGCTTGATCTGTTTGCGTGCGTTAGTTATAATCCGACACTCGTATGTTCCAGTGTCGTTGAAGGTGACGTTCTTCAGGACAACAGAAGCGTCTCCGTCCTTCATCTCTGGATCTCTCAGCTCCACTCGACCATTGAAAGATGGATGCTGGTAGTTTTCATACGGCCGCTCGTTTCGGTAAAAGAACACGTAACCGTCTGACTTCAGGTCAGGTCTGGTCCACTCCAACAGTGTGACGGAGGCATCTCTGGGACCTCGACATTGAAGAGAGACGTCCTGTCCAGGATTCACTTTTATCTCTCGCTGATCTAAAAACAAAAGTAGAGATGGTGTTTATCACATGAGACACACAGATCAGATGGTGTTCGCCACACATGGCTTGCTTCCTGTTTCCAGTAGACTATGACTATGACTCAATACTGACATGCAGATGTCCTCGGGCTCAAACATGTGACATTTTGGGACAGACATAATTTACTACATGAACATCAAGCTGTATTAAAGAAGACTTGAAACAAGCGAACGAGACCAACAACTCATTTTGACTGAGGTAATAAATGAAGTGGGAAGTATACTCGTTTTGTCATAGACTACAAGGTAATCTTACTTCTTTTTGCAACCAGTGAAGTCGCCCCCTGCTGGTTGTTAGTAAGAATGCGAGGTCCTTCACTTTTCACACCTGGAGGTTGCCGCTTGAAATTGTAAACTCTCTTAAAGGGAAACTCATTAGTTTTGTCAACGGTGAGAGCAATGATCCTCCCAAATGTCATGAAGATCAAAGAGGCTTTATCCCAGTAATGGTGAACATCTGGGGGCGCTGTAGAGCCACGCCTGAGCCCAATCACTGCTTTGCGATTTTTGTTCAAATTCTTGTGAGCCCCTCAGAAATGGTGCACAGAAGTAGAATAATAAGGCTCTGATGAATCGGGCTCTGATAATCATCAGTTATAGAGGAGCAGCTGCAGATGAAACTGTCGGTCAGTATGAAGAAGGTCCAGTTTAAACTTTGGGCGGCTGTGGCTCAGGTGATAGAGCGGTCGTCCACTCATCAGAAGGTCGGTGGCTGCATCGAAGTATCATTCGGAAAGACACTGAACCCCAAATTGTGTGAATGTAAATTAATGAGTTAATATCCGTTTCTGGTGGGTAGTTGGCACTTTTAACAGCCACAGCGGGAATCATGTTGTGATGTGCAAGTGGTGACGCATGCGTAGTAGAAGTATAACCGGTGGGGAAAAACGCTTTTTAAACCTTATTTTGGGGCAAAATTGTCAAACGTTTTCAGTGACTATTATCAGATTTTAATGCTGATTCTATTCATGTAGTTTTTATGTCCCGGTGACCAGTATAAGTGCAGTTCTGGCTCAAATACAATAAGGAAAATTGTTTTTCTGGCTGATATTGAGCCTAAACACGATGTGTTTAGTGTATTTTATTGATTTCTCTGTACTTTGTCTCCACTATGGATGTTTAAACTGCTCTATGAATACATTTTTCTAAATAAATTGATTTAGTTAAATGATCACAGTACATTACAACGTTCACCTCAGATGAATCAGCTTGATGTGTGTGCACGAGCATATCTGGTGTGGTGTCAGTCACCACACCCGTAGAAACACAAATCAATCAATAAATCTTTATTTACATAGCACTTTTCATACAAATACATGTAGCACAAAGTGCCGTTTCAGAACAAAGACACAGCTCACCTGCAGAGACCAGCGAGAGGATCAGGAAACAGAAGAAAGCCACAAGCAACATATCAGCAGAAAGAGAGAAAAGAGAGCAGAGCAGTTCTCTCGGTGATGGAGAGGCTGCCTTTCACCATCGACTGATCCAACATGAAGGGCGGGGCTTCAGCTGATGATCTCATCAGACAGGAAATACTTTCCTTCTCCTCCCTGCAGCACAAACCTTCCAACATTAACATTTGATCTGCATGACATATTCAGAATAATTCGTTCAGAAAAAGCCAAACATACTGTCTTCATACTGAAGGCAAATATAATAATTCACACACACATTAACAGACTTAATTTAATAATGAAAACTATACATTATTTTTCACTAGAATAAACAGGCTACAGAGAAGATGACATCATGACTCCTTCTGAAGACTGTCGAGTGTCTGCAGTTTATTTTAAGTTTTTATTCTCTACAACAACAGATTTCTGTGCTCATTCACAGCACTGAATGTGAATAAAAACCTGGTTTTAAGCTGTAGATGTAAAATCTGAAGTGTGGAGTCTGTCGGCTTTATATACTGAAGGGGTGTTTTTTCTTGCAGTTAAATTATCATGTATCACGTGGAGGACTTTTGTAGGTTGTTCCTGTTACGTTACCAAAAGTGAAAGTGTAAGACTGGAATGTAATCTGACTCAAACAGAAACTCCCCACAGAGACTCCAATGAGTGTGAATGTTGATATGATAACTCTGCCCCATGAGGACTGCACACTCCTTAAGAACGGAACAAAAAGATTGTTGACCTTATGGAAGACATCCAACGACTTTCAGAGGAACTCAAAGAGAAAGATTTCTTTCTGTAATCAGAGAGGAAATAACGTGACTTCTTCTTTCCAACAGTTTCAAAACCATCAGACAAAGATGATTTCTTACCTGAAAGGTCCACTTATTGGCTGTTTGCAGAGCTTTCAACCACATCTCATGGCATCAGTGGTCACCTCCCTCGTGTGAAGCGTCAGTTAGTTGTATACGAGGGGAGATGGTAACCATGGTAACCCCGTCTCTGTTCAAAGATGGTCCGTTTATTACTGCCAGGTCGACGATGTTGCAGCCGAAATCAAAGCATATGTAATACGTCATCCTTGTAGAAGCTTTGTAATTCCATCTTGGACTGCAGTGTCTTCGTAAAATTAATCCAGAAAGATGCGTCCGCCACCAAACGACACTGTTGCATCTCCATCACTGTGGCTGTGCTCAGACGCGCCGGAGGCCGTCTCTACCCTGCACCGGCGGGTAGCCCTTCTGTCAGGTCTGTTACTGCTACTCCAACACAACACTCGGCAGCTCACACACTCCATCCTCAGTCCGCACGCAGTGTTGAAGCAGATTCTGCTCAGTCCTGCTCTGGAACCCGACAACCAGCATCTCCTCGTCCTCTTTTCTCCCCAACCACAGTAATAATTGGTGACTCCATAACCAGAAACATCCGTTTCTTTAACGCTACCACTCGCTGCTTCCCCGGTGCCACCACGGCTGACATTTAAAAAAAAAAACTCCAGGACCTGATGCCATCGCTCCTGTCCTCCATCACAAGAGTGATAGTCCATGTGGGAACAAATGACACAGCTCATCAGCAGTCTGAGCTGACAAAATCAGATTTTAACCGTCTTTTTAACTTTTTAAAGCAGTGTGGAAAGTCCGTTTTTATCTCTGGTCCCATTCCCACAGTCGGTCGCGGTGCTGGCCGCTTCAGTAGACTCCTTGGCCTCCACGACTGGCTCCAGTCCGCCTGCAGGGCTCATCGTGTGTTTTATGTGGATAATTTTAATATTTTCTGGCAAAGAATGTCCCTTTTTAAGACAGACGGACTTCACCCAAACAAACGGGCTCAGAAATGTTAGCTGCGCACATACAGCATGTGGTGCGGTCCACACATGACTTACGTGAATGAATTATCATTCATGTACCACAGCACTGAGACTGCCCTGCTTAAAGTCACCAATGACCTTTTAATGTCTGCTGATGAAGGCATGTGCTCAGTCCTGGTACTCCTGGACCTTAGCGCTGCTTTTGACACCATTGATCACAACATCATGTTAGACAGACTGAGGCACTGGGTGGGGATCTCTGGTACTGCCCTAGAATGGTTTTCATCCTACCTGTCAAATAGGAAGTTTTCCTCCGTTGTTGTAACAAAACACTTCCTACTTTATAATTCTTTATTTCAGAGTAAATTAATCCAGTAGCCTCTGAATGCCAAATGTTTCGGTTTTGTTTCCTGATCATTCTAGTGATATAGAAAGCTGTCATCAGATGACTCAACCAGTGTGCATTCCTGAAACATGAAACTCTACACATCCTCAGTAAATTAATTACTCACTTCCTCTGAGTTTCAGCAGCTGAAACACTTTGCCTTCACATTTGAAATTTAATCTTTATCATAGAGTCACATAAGAATTACTGCAGACTGAATCATTAGGGAGGAGACGAGTTTATCCTGCTGCTGCTCACAGACACAAAGTTCAAACTTAACCTGGTTTAAATTAAAATTTCTTATGTGGAGTCTTAACTGAATTACTGTGACTGTGAATCAGATCTCCTGTTTGGCTGTTTTTCTCCTGAGCTGATTATTTGTTCAGTTCTTATTTATTCAGTTATTTAATCAGCAGGAAGAGAAAACTTTCAAACTGAAGTACTGAAAGATAAAACTGGTCACATTTAACAGTAGATGATAAGCTGCGCTGTGATCAACATGTTGCCAAGAGACAGAAGTCATGTTATTATATAATTTTTAAATGTGTGTTTTCTACTTTATAGAAATCGGACTTTCAACCAGGAGACCAGTGTTTGTTTTCCATGTGATACAAAAATTCAACATTAAATATTTTCATTTAAGTGATGTAGCTACACACATAAGCTACGCAAACTACACAAGTAACGTCACTTATCTTTTTCTAACCCTAACCAAAGTACTTATGTTGCCTTAACTTAACCAAATTGCAATATTTCACAGCTTTACGAACATGGCATTTCCAAATGGCAATGTTTCACAACGTAACGTTTCATTTTGAAACTGTAACCAGACGTTGCATATTTATTGTTGTTAACTTGACCACGAAGGGGTAAACGTACAAAACAAATGCAAAAGGAGTACCCAGGGCGTTAAAAAGCGACGTCAGGGGATTTTGACGAAGCGTCCATATGTGACAAGTAGTGAGAATGTGTTGTGACCTCTCTGCAGCCTTCGACACCATCTCTCACAAAGGAAAGTTAGGACAATTCCAAAGGAATAATAAATAAAAGGCAATTATAAACTAATATCAAATTATATTATATTATATTATACATTATATAAACCATCATCATTGAGTATAAATATATTTCAAATCTAATAATAAAATGAATGATCTCTTTGTTTTTACTTGTTTTTGGCAGTAAAAGTTAAAAATCCCCATTGACCAAAAAGCAAACCTCCAAACTGACAGACCACTGCATGAAATGGTTCGGTCCTGCCTTAGCGCTCTCATAAGTGATGGTGTTTAGTTGCAGTCAATAGATGCGCCAGAAATGCAGTGATCACAATGTTTCCTAGTGAACCAAACTCTGGTTTTCAAAAAAGGAAACAGAGATATGAAAGAGAGGAAAGACAAAGAACAGGATGTCACTCTGTAACCCAGTTTTTCACCAAGAAAGGTGTGCAGTCTGTGAGTGGTGTTAACCTGTTGGCTTAATGTCCACAGTGAAATAATCTAGCTAGCTACAGACTAGTGTTAGCCAACATCTCATCAACATTTAATCAGTGCAGGAAAACATTTAGCAAGATATTCATATTAAATCATTGTCTCTGCCCCTTTTAGCAGACTAACAACAGATGAGTAAGCAGCAGCCCAGTCTGCCCATAACTGTAGCCTCCCTGTCCCAGTGAAGAAGGTGAGCAACACTATGTGAATGAGTTAGCATCATTCCAGGGAGGCTGTGGGGATTTTTCTCTCTCTCTTGCTGTTTTTACCAGAACAAAAAAAGACAATGAAATATTTCTTAATGACAGATATTCAAACACAAATAATTTTCTCAGATAATGATCATTATGAAATAAAAAAATAAAACACCTTCCTGTCCATACTGGATGCTGGACAGCAGCTTACCTCAGCCTGCATGTAAATTACAGACTATATTAAAATAATCCAGTTTGATACGTTCATTTAAATTGAATTATGGCCATTAATGACATCTATAGATACAAACTTCATTATTCCCATCATGAAGGGCAATTTATTTGAGAAGCCAATAGTGAACTGCATCCTGTATGCAGACTTGCATGTGCAAATCACCAGCAATAAATATTGTGATAGTACTAATATTGAACTACAAGAAGCAAGACACTTGCAAGCCTTTAATTAGACTTATGTAAAGCTTTTGATGGGACAGTTAAGTCTTAGAGAAGTGGTGACAACAGCTGCGCAAAGGGCGTTCAATTACATTTTTTTTGTCATGGGGCCCAAAATTCCTGGCGGCCCCCCTGCTAACACCTTCCTTTCTGAACTTATTGGCTTTACTAGCACTAGCCCACTTTCTTGGATCCAACTCTGTCTCTCCAACAGGAAACAATATATCACCTTCAAAGACCTCTGCTCCATGTTGGTGCCAGTTAACCATGGAGTGCCCAGGAGGTCTGTGCTTGCCTTCTTTTCAATGTCTACATGCTACCCCTTGGCCAGATTATCCGTCACTATGGACTCAATGTCCACTGCTATGCTGATGACACCCAGTTGAACATCAGCACCAAACCCACAACCCAGCTCCCACCCTTGTCACTTGGACAACTGCTAACCTTCTCAAACTGTACAATATTAATTCCAGTTGGACAAAACAGATGTTTTATTTTGTGTGTTTTGATTTATTAAATTATTGTGAAAGAAAAATGCTCTACATGGTGGTCAGTCTATGATTTGTTAATGCTAAGTACCAAATTGTCAATAATCATAACCATTCATGAAGAACGAGCGTGCATGGATCAATAATGAGCTGGGACTGTTGCTGAATGTAACACGAGAGTTAAAAGGCTGTGGTGGCGGAAACCAGACAGGGAGTCATGAGAGAGAGAGAGAGAGAGAGAGAGTAATCATAATGATAATAATAATGATAATAACAGTAATAATAACAATAGGACTAGTAACAATAGTCGTTGCAGCAGAGGGTGTCGAGCAGGAACACGGGGCAGCAGGTGACCCGCAGCCACAGATCCAGACTCCACAGCTCCAGAGCCAGAAAACCTGCAGGAAGTGATAGGAGGAGAGAGGAAAGGGACGAGAAAGCACAAGACTACAGGAAAGGGAAGAAGTCGAGTTAGTAACAAAAAGACTAAAATGTAGGGGAGAGCCAGGATGATTTTAATGACGAGTTGTGTTTATTGTTCCATGTGTCATGGTCATGATCAGACAAAACATTAGTTAGTACTTTAACACATCCTGAAGTTTTAAATGTCAAAGTTTTACAGTTTAGAAGCTACGATTAAAACATCTTTTTCAATCAATACATTTTCTAGTTAACTGTGGATATACAACACAACCCTACAGTGATATCGCAGGATATGATTCTCTTATATGCTTACTTATTACTTATGATTGCTCATATGATACTCAATATTGTGTAACATGCTTATCTTATTAATTCAGCAGTTAAGACAGTCAGAAGCTTGTGCTCAATGATAGGAAACCGGGCCCTGATAGCAATACACTCTGACACACTTCACACTTTCCTTAATACAGTTAATACGTTAAGGTGCACTAGAATATGCTACATAAACTGACTTCACCATGTATGGATATCTCTAAAAGATACAGCAGGGGTGCGGTCTCCTGAAGATATACTCAGGCTTGGTTGAAGAACCGCAGACTTGCTGTTAGGCCGTTGTGCTGTGCATGTCTCCAGATATGTTTGTATTTCTATAATAAATATTTGGTATTCAACAGACTTCTCAGACTCCTCTCAGTTCTTCCCTCATCAACCAACTCCGGGAAGTCGTTGCACTTCAACACTAGCTAGTTATATTATATATATATATATATATATATATATAGCTGTTTAATTCACACAAATATCCCGCTGTATATTATTTGACCAGAACAAAGTATTACTTATTTATCAAACGGGTAAGAAGTTCTTCTTCCATGTAAGCCTACATTTACTAATTTGGCAGACGCTATTATGCGTAAATACGTCCTGAATGTGGGATGGCTACACTGCCGCTGTACTGCTGTGTAGCTGTATTCTGCGGAAAGTAATCCACTGTTACTAAGCGTCTCTTCGTTGTCAACTTCCGTTGTGGCCTTTTGTATTTCCGTTGTGGTTTTTGAATTTGTTTTGTGGCTTTTGTATTAGGCCTGAAACCTATGAGCCACCATATTCACACACAGACACACAGAACATCAGAGCAAATTTAAGATTTAATGAAAGTATTTTTGAAACCAGGTCGCTTTGTATGTATTTTATTATACCTCATTATTTTGTCATAGTTATATCTCCTGTTCAGCAGGATGTTGGAATGAATTATGGTGTGTTTGTCTGTTATGTTTTCTAAAGATCATAAAACTAACAAGAAAAACACCATTTAGAAGAAGCACACCAACTGGCAGACCAATTTTCAGTGCAAAATTTCCCTCCTTGTTTCCTCCCTCCTTGTCTCCTCCCTCCTTGTGTCCAGCTGTGTGACCTGCAGAGCAGAAACAGGTGTGAGGTATCAGCTGTCAGCAGGTGAACAGAATGTCAGACATTATCTACTGCACTTTGACCACATGACTCGTAGCAGCTGTTTCCTCTAAAGTCTCATCAGAAACATCTTTCTAAAACACAAACATCTGATCTGTGATGTAATGATGTGATTCATAGAGAGATGCAAGGAAACCAAGCTAGGAGAGAAGGAACGAGGAAATATGTTTTAAGAGACATGAGACGTCATTTCGTCTGAAGCGACGTCCATTTCTGATGCCGGCGGCAGCTGATCACAGCTGGATCAGCTTATATTTATTGATTCTGATTGTGAATTCATTATTGAATAACCCAGAATATGATCATTGTGTCTTTGGATTTATTAGGCTAAATGTTTGCAAAGTCCGCTCAGTTTTAGGCTTTCAGTTTATTTCCTCATCTGATATCCTTTGACACAACTGCATACAGTTTATTTATGCAAGTCCCATCACTCTTCACCAATAGATCACCGCGTTCCATCATATCAATTCAATGCTCCAGCTGCTGATATCAGATGTAGTCTCTTTGTGACAGGCTTGATTAGGGGACCAAAAATTCGGGACATTCATCAGCTGATTTTACTCGCGGAGCCGCCGGCGGCTTTCATCAGGCTTTATTTTCCTTTGCTTGCTTCATTAGAGACTTTAGTGCAGTTTATTGTCCGAACCTAGACTACGTGTTTATTATGTTTTATGTTTTTGTCGTCTATTTGGACTAAACACAGGAAAGACCAGCCTCACATGTAAAACATGTTTCTTTCTGACAGACTCTCCGTCTCTCTCTGACTTTAATTGAAATAAAAAAAAGAAAATCTTTCTAATAAATAAATAAAGTTGTTTGTGGGGCTTTTGTATGTCAGACAATGAACACAGATTTTAACAAGACAGTGAATGATCAAACAAATCAAATATAACTCTTTGCAGTGATGCACTTGAGATTAATGTGATGTGTCCTGATGTGTCCTGTGTCTCTGGCTCTACACACTCACCTGGCTCTGTCACTGTCAGCCTGATGATGCTGCTGGGATCAGGTTTGCCTGCGTCTCTCTTTCTACGTCTTGTGTTTTCCTCTCCAATCCGACACTCGTATGTTCCAGTGTCGTTGATGCTGACGTTCTTCAGAATCACAGAAGAGTCTCCGTCCTTCATTTCTGGATCTCTGAGCTCCACTCGACCACGAAACAGTGAATGCTGGTAGTTTTCATACAAGCGACCTTCTCTGAAGTAGAAGACATAACCATCATCTGGCTCCAGGTCAGATCTGCTCCACTCTATCACTGTGATGACAGCACCTCTGTAACCCCGACACTGAAGAGTGGCGTCCTCTCCAGGCTTCAATGTCTCCAGTTGTTCTGAAGATATAAAATAATAATACTATCATATAATAAAACCTGTACTGGATGGAAGCTGTAGACGCAAATGTGCGTTTGCCAAAATACTGTTTTTATCTGTAGTCAGTTGTTACATAGTCGACTAAAAAAAACTTAAAAAACAATAATAAAATGAATTTAAGAATCATTTAAAATGAAGTCAAACATTATGAAAGCATATGCATCAAAATGAAGTAGAAGAAACACAGACATCGTGCTTAAATGCTTTTTCATGGACGTCAGAGTGAGAAGAGAGCAAGAACGTATTTATTTTAATCAATATAATGAATATTTCGCAAGGATTAAAAATATAAGTTATATAAGTAAAAATATAAGTTATAAAAACAGTAATTATAATAAGTTATCACGAGTAATTGCTGTGGAAACTACAGTAATACAGAAATTTCCCACATTTCTTTCCTAACGATCATTTCATATAATCAAAGGTAATCAGTCATCTACCTGCTGATCCACCTCTCAGCTTCCCTTAAAAACATCAGTACTAACGATACGAATGACAGACAGCTGTATAATAAGAGGTCTATTGTCGTATCTGTTTTATGCTGTTGTATGGCCTAATATGTGAAACTGTACATACACACCCTCTTACCTTGACACAGAGCAAAGATCCATGAACATGTGAACAAGCAGGGCTGGCGTCGATGTTAAGACAGCCATCACAGCAGCACGGCACGGCGGTTTTTTATAACTTACCATAAGGACCTTTTGTTTCTGTTCCTTGGTTTTTAATAGCGGGGGGGGGGGGGGGGGGGGGGGGGGGG